GTGAATGTCCTGTACTGGTCTTAACATCTCATAACATCAGCTTTTAATTTTCCTCTTGGATGTTCTTCTTGACCCTCAGAGAAGGAGAACATGTTGAATCGTGTCTTTCAGGCATGTCCTTTCCTAACAAAAATTACAGGAAACATAAAGCATATTATTGCAGAACAAGTGTGTTATTTATGAAAGAGGTGTGTTTGTGTTTAGGGGCTGTAGATATAATTATTTTGTAATTGTAATGTTTTATTTTATTTCAACAGTGAGCTACAAAGACAATCAGATTATGAATGAACAGTATGAAATTCATCAACATTGAAATGTATTTTATTATCAAAATAATATTTAACTGTTATTAAAACAAGCTTGCTCTGTTGTCTCACTGAAAGAATAACTTTTACCACGTTTTTACAGACAATATTGAGAGATAAAAAGCAGTTCTCACTATGCGTTAAATATCTTTGCCTTCAATACCTTAAATTAGAAAGCTGACAGTCATATTGCTTGTTAACATCTAAATGTAACCCTTTGCATGGAAAAAACCCTCAACTTCACTGATGTGTAGGTGATCTAGTATTTAGTATTGTTTAATGGAATGTATATCAGTGTATTAAAGTCAATACTTCATTTATTTAAACCAATATCTTTCTTGATTCTTTGTACAGTATGAAAAAAGAGTATTTGTACCTGTGCTGAAGTTCACTGCTGTGAGGAGTCCAGTTCTGTCTCTCACTCTCTGGTCCAGCCTGTCGAATCACCTGGACACTTTAAACAAACAGATATATATGTAAAGAACCATGTGTACAAACAATATAACTTATTATCTTCTGTTGAACATGTTGGATTGTGTATTGTCCGAGTCAGGGTCCTTTTTATTTTACTGTAACTTTGGAAGTTGTGTTACCAATGCTTACTGTTTATTTGATACCAATTTGGTAATGCAATTAATAAAAACAACAAGGTTTGGGTTCGTTCTTCAGATGACTGTGACGTTAACGTGTAAGCTCAATAATGAACTCCAGCTCAACCAACCATATTGTAATATCTAAGTAATCATCTTGAAATATGACATTAATAATTGTAATATACATACATCTTATTGTGAGGTTGATTTCACATACACTACTTCGACGTTAGCTTGTCTACATACTTGAGCATAGCCAATTTAAATTAACCTTAGGATGCATAAAGTTCCTACCTACATAATAAAATATCTCTCTAAGTTACAATGATGACCTTATTTTATCAACCTCAAACAGAAGCCTTTTGTTCTACAGTATTATCCCACTTAACGCTTAACACTTGTCTATTTCGTTTTAACCTTTATATATACAGTCTATGGTTTTAAGTTAACTTGGAGGCTAAGATTAGCATCGTTAGCACCGATGTAGCTACCACTCGCTTACACGCAAACCCAAGCCTTAACATTCATTACGTAGCTGATTGAAATCATAAACACATAAATAAAGTACTCGAATTTCACTTACCGCAAAACGGCATTCATGCACCGTCTGTTTTAAGCGCAGAGCGAGTCACAATAGTCCCATATATAAGCATGAAGAACAAACAAACACGGCCGGGGTCAAGTTGTGTTCCCTGGATGAACTGACCAGGCAGAGTCCCTGTAGCTTCACGGACGGAGCAGCTAGCAGAGAGACAAGAAGCTAACAGCAGCAGTCACTTGACAGAGCTGTCACTCAATGTGACCACGCCCTAATTTATGCAAAAACTTTAAGACCTAATATAAATAAAAGGGTCATGTTAGAAAACAATTCACTCACAGATTCATAATCATGAAGGTGGAATCTAACTATATACATAATAAAATGTATTGCAGCCAGGGCTAGAAACGTTTTTTTTCTGCTGTGAAAATGGGCATTTTAACATGGGGGTCTATGGAAATTGCTCCTTTCTGCAGTCATCGCCTATCGGCCAATATATGAACTGCAGTTTGTGGCACTTCCGTATTGGCGTCCCGGCTCTTTCCCAGAGTTTGCCGCTTGGTAGCACCAGATTAACGGGAAGAATATCAACTAACTGAAGATATGAACCATTTTTATCAAAACAAAACACAAGTCTCATAAGAAGCGTCTAAATGACCCCTGAGCGAAACAATTCTAACGCACTGCGGCACACAATTCAAGATAAAAATACCCTTATTACTTATCGTAGCTGCACATACAATATAGCCGATTAAAGCTGAGACTACACTGATTATTTAGGTATAGTATCATCACTGAGCGATCCGAACTTGCGACAGGGGAAGCAAACACAGACATCACAACACGTACCTTTACGGAGCTTTTACGGCAGATCGTCTCACCGTAGCTGTCAATTAGGTCAAAAGACGTGTTCAATGGCATTAAAACGGAAAAAAAAAATGCTACAACTGTTGATACATAGGTTCATAATGTACCTGTGCCTTTGAAAAAATTATTTATAATCCATAATTCCATTTTGTATGTAGAAATCGGAGCGGAAAAGTTAGCTGCTAATGGTAGCCACCAGAGTGTATGCAGCTTCCGGTTTTGGTAACGCGTCACTCTCACTCCTTATTTGTTAATGTTTTGGTGTGTATATAACTTTCCCTCGATTCCATTGGCTCTAGCGGTTATAAAGAGATTTCATTCATCAAAATCGAGCAAGGGGGGCCAGAGATAGGTCAAATCCACCCAAATGACCCCAGAAGTGTTTTTTTTGGGCTAAATCTCTCTAAAAAGGTCAAATTTCACTTGTTTTGCATCAATCTTGATACAGGTGTATATATATATATACATATATATATATATATATATATATATATATATATATACACACACATATATATATGTATATATATATATATATATATATATATATGTGTGTGTATATATATATATATATATGTGTGTGTGTATATACTGTTATTTCACACACGCTAAATGGAGGAATTATTTCTGATTTTAGTTACATTTTTGAAAGAATAAGCCAGTGAAGTAATTCACAGTGATGAAGACGAGTATCAAATGGATTCTGGGTCACAGCCATCAACATCTGCCTCATCCGAACTACGACGTGCATCAGATCAGCATACAGTTGCCCCAGAGCCATCAACATCCAAGCTACGCCGCCGGACGTCTGCACCAGTACTAACTCAGCCTCCCTCTGCATCTTCTGATTCTGAACCATGGTCCCTCAATGTTACATTGCAGTGGTGAACAGCTTCCTTCTCCACATGGAGCTGCACAAGATGAGGGGTGACCCCGGCAGGACGAAGCCACACACCCAGAAGTCCTTCAGGGAGCTGCTTGCTGCAGACATGAGGGGTGAAGTCCCTGCAGCACCACCACCACTCCCCCCATCATCACTCGTATGCATTCCCAAGTATTATGGGGAAGATGCCACCGCGCTCAGGAGGTACTGCAGGAGGTGCTCTGATGCTGGCAACAAAACGGTGAAGACACCTATCTACTGCACTAAGTTCCTGGTCCCTCTGTGCCTCAATTGAAAGAACTGTTTCGAGGCGTGGCACACCTCTGACTAAACACATTCAGGTTTTGTGTACATTTTTTTTACCAGTGTTTACAAAAAAAATGCTTGTGGTTTTATTTCGGTTTTAGTGTAGTTTTATTGTATAGTGTGTTTTTGAAATAAATCTGCTCCTGTTGGAGACAAATGTATCCTATGTTTCCTCATATTTATTGAGTAAGTAAACCTTCCTCGAAGTGTTAGTCGGGTGATAAACATGTAAGGACTGTGGCAAAGTCCACCAACACACACCATTTAAAAAAAAAAAAACATAAATGTAATTTAAAAAAAAAATTAAATTTAAATTTTTTTTCTTTTTATAAAAACACTTGTGTTTGGATGGAATGATTACCTATAGTGATAATACAATTATTTTTACAGTATGCTACCTGAAAAAGGTCAAATGGCACTGATGGTATCCAAATGTGCCCAAAGGTCAGTCCGCCTGGACTTTCTTTTGCTAAACCTCTCTAAAAAGTTCAAATTTAACTTGTTTTGCCTCAATCTTGATACAGGGTACTTATGTTATATTTTGGATTCCTAAAGCTTTTAGTCTACCATCCCATCATTCAAGGGTGGTTTTCACTATAAGTAATGGTTTTTTTTTAGGCGGAGGTAAGAATTTACCTTTTTTTACTATGTTCCATCTGAATTTACTCTGACACAGAAACATCTATATTGATTCTGACACTTCTACATCCAACTCACAGATGTAACCTTGCTTTGATAAAAGAAATTATTCATATAACCCTTTTAGAAGTTAAGTTATAGTCATTTGTTTTGGGCATAGCATTTTCGAGCCTGAAACCTGAAAAACAGGCTCAGGGCTTAACAGGTTAATGGTGATTAGATTTTTAATTGCTAACACTTAACAGGTTTTTCTGGCTGTGTGTTTCCTGTTTCCTGCAGACGTCCAGCTGCTGGTGGTGGTTAAAGAAGAGCTTCTCCCTGACCAGCAGGAGTGGAGCACCAGTCTGGACCAGGAGGACCCAGAGCCCCCCCCACACATTAAGCAGGAACAGGAGGAACTCCGGATCAGTCAGGAGGGAGAGCAGCTTCAGGAGCTGGAGGAGGCTGATATCACCAAGTCCACTTTCACTCCTGACCCTGTGAAGAGTGAAGATGATGAAGAGAAACCTCTTTCCTCACAGCCTCATCAAAGACAAACTGAACACATGGAAACAGAAGCTGATGGAGATGACTGTCGAGGACCAGAACCAGCCAGGAACTCAGATCCAGAGAGCAGTTTACAACCAAAGACTGAGGACGACACTGGAGACTGTTCTGAACCTGACAATGGAGACTCTTCTGAACCTGACACTGGAGACTCCTCTGAACCTGACACTGAAGACAGTGCTGATTGGAAGGAGACAAGAGAACCTGCGTCAGGCTCAAACTCACTGAAAGATAGACAAGAATCTGTCAGTGATTCAAGCCGTAGTGCTGTAAAGAAACAATTTGGCTGCTCTGTGTGTACGAAATATTTTACATATAGAAGCAATGTTCAGAAACACATGAGAGTCCACACAGGAGAGAAACCATACAGATGCTCAGTTTGTAAGAAAGCTTTTTCAAAGAATATACATTTAAAGGAACACATGAGAGTCCACACAGGAGAGAAACCATTCAACTGCTCAGTTTGTACCAAATCTTTTTCACAGAGTGGAACTTTAAAGTCACACATGAGAATCCACACAGCAGAGAAACCATACAGATGCTCAGTTTGTAAGAAAGCTTTCGCACACAATATAAATTTAAAGGCACACATGAGAGTCCACACAGGAGAGAAACCATTCAACTGCTCAGTTTGTACCAAATCTTTTTCACAGAGTGGAAGTTTAAAGTCACACATGAGAATCCACACAGGAGAGAAAGCACACAGCTGCTCAGTCTGTAAGAAATCTTTTTCACAGAGTGGAAGTTTAAAGTCACACATGAGAATCCACACAGGAGAGAAAGCACACAGCTGCTCAGTCTGTAAGAAAGCTTTTTCACAGAGTGGAAATTTAAAGTCACACATGAGAATCCACACAGGAGAGAAAGCACACAGCTGCTCAGTCTGTAAGAAAGCTTTTGCACTGAATACAAATTTAAAGAGACACATGAGAGTCCACACAGGAGAGGAAATGTACAACTGCAATGTTTGTGACAAAAGATTTAAATGGCGTGGTGATTTAAAAAGACACAAGTGTGTTGGTCGTCAGTCCTCACAGCTTAATGAAATTCAAACTGAGGATAACAGAGGCAGAGCCTCCAACCAGCAGCTCAGCTGAACACATGGAAACAGAAGCTGGTGGAGAGGACAATGAATAAGTCTTATGACATTTCACACGTGAGAAAAATCTGTCTGACTGGATTAACATTGTTGCACAACATTCATATAAGACTTAAATTAACTCCATCTTTATCAGCACAAGTGGAAAATATGTTTAATGTTTTTGTCATACTGATTTTCTGATGTATACGTTAACCACTGACTGTTGATGAACCATTTTATTTTGGATTGAGGGCTCCAAGTTTCCATATAGAGATATAGGATGATTTGATGTATTGTTCTTTATTTCTAAATGTTTTGTATCATTGCTATCCTGTTAATGAGCCCTGTTTTACATAAATGTACCTGTTATCTGATTGTTTTTGCTTCTGTAACTGTAAGGGAATACATTTGTCTATTTTGTATCCTGATGACCTAATGCCGTTACATGTAATACGTTACTCCCTAAGCCTGATTTCACCCACCTGCAACCGATTCGCAAATAATCACGAATGTTCATTTCTTTGACCCCTTGACTCGACTATTTCTTGTTTAATAATCGTTACATCTCCTCAGGACCAAGTTCCTGTGTCCTGCCTTTCACCTGCTGATCACCCACTGCTCATTTAAGGTGGACTGACCTTTACAATGGACCAGCTAGTCTTAGTGTCTTAAAGCAAACGTTTTGTAAAGTGATGCTAGACCAAAGACGTGCTGTTGGGTTGTGTGCTCTCTGCAGGACGGTGTCTGTACTCAAAGATTGTTTATGAAATGAAAGCTTCACTCTGTTTTTGTTGTCCAAACGACACCAACAGAGCGATTCGTCTTCTTTCCAGCAGATGGCATAAATGTTACATCATCCAGTTCAACTGTCATCCACATATTAATGATTCAAAACAGCAATGTGTAAGATATGGCTAGTAATTGACTATTTCAACAGAATGTGAAGAGGTTACAGTCTTGAGGCCATGTCCAATATGTTTATGTTTTGTTTGATTAAATCTACTGAAATGAGCATTCAATGACTAAATTATTCTTAATTACTGTCATTACATCATGGGTTTGCATTGCAATATTAGAACGCATAAAACCCAACTTTATTTCTTCCAAGTTGCGGGTGTTCATTTTTTAGAAGTCTGCTGTGTTTCATCCAAGCGTCCACTTTGTGCTCCGATAATACTGAAAGTATCTGTTGTATGCTTTACCTGCTCCAGTAACAAAAGAGTAATTCACTGGACAGAGACAAGAGATAGTGGATGGACCCAGAGGAGAACCAGAAGATAGTCCGTATAGAGCCTTCAGGTTCTGAAGATTATCAGGGATAGAGCTAGAACAAAACTCCAAAAACCTGAATAGAGCTAGAAGATAGCCAGAACAAAGCCAAGAAAGACCCAGTAGAAAGACAGGAAGGAGCCAAAAGAGTTTGTATTTTTTAATATTCAAGCTCTTCTCTTAACCCCATTATAGCAGATGCCACATTGAATGGATGAACACATTTATGCATCAATAATTACAACAGAGTATTTCTAAATACAAGTTGTAAAAATACTTATATGTATTTAATACTAATAACATAATGATTAATTTCAGATGATAATACTTTTCAGGGTTAGGGTTAGGTCCGGTCTGACAGCGCTTAGCTCTCTGCTGCAGAGAGGAAGAGAATTCACTGCACTAAACAAAGTCAAAAATCAACATACAGTAGGCAACATAGGGGGGTGGGGGCTGGTGAACGGTATGGTAAATGTTTGTAAACACAATCCCCAGGATGTGTCCTAATCACAAACCTACAGACTGGGGGTTGGGAGATCACAGGAGGGGGGGGGGGGGGGGGGGGGGGGAAGAGCTGTGGAATGTGACCATCCCCCTTGGGAGGCTTCCTCCACACATTCCGATGGCCAATTAATTTTAAACAAAGAGTTCTCAACATACAGTATAGTCAACATGGGGGGTGGGGGCTGGTGAACGGTATGGTCAATGTTTGTAAACACAATCCCCAGGATGTGTCCTAATCAAACCAAAAGAGAAAATGTAGTTATACAAATACTGTTTCAATCACATTAGTATGCATACAAAGTGACAGGTCACACCTGCCTCTACTATACTACTACTTATGCTAATGAGCCCCTTTGATATGCTAATGAGCCCCTTTGTTCGAGGTGTTATCACATGTAGGTGTGATATTCCCCATTGTAGTAGATCCTTTGTTGTGTAATCTAATTAGCCTTTGATGTCTGATCCCTTTGTTGTCTATCCTTTGATGTGAGGGGTGAGGTGTTTGTGACATGTAGGTGTGAACTCCCCATTGTAGTAGATCCTTTGTTGTGTAATCTAATTAGCCTTTGATGTCTGACCCTTTGTTGTCTATCCTTTGATGTGAGGGGTGAGGTGTTTGTGACATGTAGGTGTGATATTCCCTATTGTAGTAGATCCTTTGTTGTGTAATCTAATTAGCCTTTGATGTCTGACCCAGAGGGGTGAGGTGTTTGTGACATGTAGGTGTGATATTCCCTATTGTAGTGGATCCTTTGTTGTGTAATCTAATTAGCCTTTGATGTCTGACCCCTTGTTGTCTAATCTAATTAGACCCTTTGATGTCTGTCCTTTGATGTAAGGTGGGAGGTATTATAACATGTAGGTGTGTGTGTGCACCGGTGTGTTATAAGCCTTTGATGTCAATCGAATTAGCCCTTTGATGTATGTCCTTTGATCAGTGTTTGTAACTATTGTCAAGGTAGTCTCTTTGAAGTTGTGTCAGACTGTCTCGCACCCCATCCTCCTCTCACCTCTTCCCCCCTTCCTTTTGCTGTGATGTCAGAAGATAGAGGTGGAGGGTGGAGTTAGATGATGTAAATAGTCCAAGTGCCATGGTAGGGGGGCATTACGGAACTCAGGAGTCCGCCCTTTGAGGCGTTGTTAACATTAATGCTTTTGTTTTTGTTACTAAGATACTTTTTAGATACACTTTTGAAGTGAGCAACACTTTACAACTGGTAGAAAGTTAAGTACTTTGTATGGAATTGGGTTTTCTTTGGAGCTGTTTTCAGTGAGACAATGCAGTTTCTGATCATTTTAAGTTTCAAGTTTCAAGGCTTTATGGCATATGCCCATTAGCTACAGTGTAGATATGTCAATGAAAAACATAGGTCACAGGCTCCTCCAACAGTGCACATAAAACAGATAAAATACTGCAATAGAATGTTTTGATATGACAGATTTGTGCGTAATTCTCTCACAAAGGAACTGTAAGATACACGTTTATGTATGGAAAACTTTATAACTTGGTAAAATATTCATTCATTTGTAATGAATTGAGTTTTCTTCAAGAATCAAACTCTAAATGGAGAGTTTGTGATTTTAACACTGTTTCGATGAAACAATGCAGTTTTGATAACTTGACTTGACTAACATTACTTTTTTTAAATATATGTTTTTAGATGCTTTACTTTTGATTTCTTTCATGTTATTTTAACACATTACTTTTTTCATATTTTTCAACATACTGTGATATTTGTTTTTTGCTCTCCTTTTTCCATTACATTTTTGAATATACAGACATTCAACGCAATAAGTCCCACCCCAATCAGCAAATCATCCAAAACTAAGGACCCCCCACTAAGACGAACAGATTTTCTTTAAGACTGTGACTCTTAAAGGCACTTTGGGATTTTAGTAAGACAATCCAGTTTTCTGGAAATAACTTAAATGATTTTCGTTTTTTCTCCTACAAAGATACTTATAGTTACACTTTAATGGATGCAAAACTTTATAACTTGGTAAAATATTAATTAATTTGTAATGAATTGAGTTTTCTTAAAGAATCAAACTCTAAATGGAGAGTTTGTGATTTTAACACTGTTTCGATGAAACAATGCCGTTTTGATAACTTGACTTGACTAACATTACTTTTTTAAATATATGTTTTGTTAGACGACTTTACTGATTTTTGCTTTTTTCTTCCTTGCTTTTGTTTGTGTTACTAGGATACTTTTAGATACACTTTGAAGTGTGCAACACTTTACAACTGATAGAATAGTACATTGTAAGGAATTCGTTTTCTTGGTAGAATATAAAGTACTTTGTAAGGAATTGGGTTTCTTAACAATCCTGCTCCACCATTAAATCACTTAATCTGCTACTTCCAGGCAAAAGCTTTAAAACTTGCATCGTGTATTAAGTCATGTCTTGGCAAAAATGAGAGTCCTGGGTGCTTTAAAACATTTCTTAGAACATTTTGATATATTCAAACACATAATGAACTGCAATGACTCACTGCTGCATCAAATTTATTTTACACTGTTGGGAGGACAAAACTGTGAGCCTCTCAGACCCTTTTGTTGTCAATCTAATTAGCCTGTCCTCATTCTAACTAAAGTAATTTAACCTAAGTGGAGCCAACCTAAGGAGTGGGCCCTACAGTCTGGGAATAGTTTACTTTTTAACATTCTACTCAAAAGGCCCGTAAATATTATCTCCGCCAATATGCTATATTAAAATATCATTTAAAAAATAAAATAAAAAATAAAACTCATTTCATGTTGAAATGATCAAGGAAAAGCCAGTCAATGTTATGCTAACACAAACAAAAGTTCTGTTTTATATGTTGAAATATAATTTAAAAAACAACGATATAGTATTTTCAAGTCTTACTTTAGTATGGTAAAATTAAGAATAAGTCACATTAAAGTTTGTCATGATTTTCCGTAAAAAAGTCAAGTATAGTTTGTCAAAAGAATATGAAAAAATCATTTTGTAGAGTAGTATGTTGAAAATCTCAGTGTTTAACTGAACACCCCTACATGTGATAACACCTCGAACAAAGGGGTAATTAGCATACAAAGGGGGGTCACTAGCATCAGTGGGGGAAAGGTGCTACGGAAATGAACTTTGAGGAGGGGGAACTTGTAAGAATTTCCAAGGCGAGAGGGGTCTTTGATAAAAAAAAATATGAACAGAGTTATACCGACTAATTATTTACGGCGTCCGAACGCATACCTCGTCAACCATCTGTTTACAAACTCAAAGATTATGATGGAGAAGAGATCAAGGGGACTTTTTTATGAGAAAGAGTTAAAAAAAGTGAAGGTAGTACTTTTTTCTGAACAGATTTTCTTTAAGACTGTGACTCTTAAAGACATTTTCTAGTAAGACAATCCAGTTTTCTGGAAATAACTTGAATGATTTTTGTTTTTTCTCCTACAAAGATACTTATAGTTACACTTTAATGGATGCAAAACTTTATAACTTGGTAAAATATTCATTAATTTGTAATGAAATTAGTTTCTTAAAGAATCAAACTCTAAATGGAGAGTTTGTGATTTTAACACTGTTTCGATGAAACAATGCGGTTTTGATAACTTGACTTGACTAACATAATTTTTTTTTTAAATATATGTTTTTAGATGCTTTACTTTGATTTATTTCATGTTATTTTAACACAACATTACTTTTTTCATATTTTTCAACATACTGTGATATTTGTTTTTTCTCTCCTTTTTTCCATTATATTTTTGAAAAACTACACAGTG